CTGTTTTAAACACTTACGAGAAATTGAGAAGGGAAGTGTCAAGTGAAACATTTTGAAAAACTGAAGGTCCACTATGAAGGTATCTCCGGTATTTTAAAAATTGTCCATATAGGGCCGCTTTAAAAGGGGGCCTGACAAATTCATGGTATATAAAGCTAACTGTAGCTATTAGTCATGTCAGGATGGATATACATTTCTTCAAGTGTATCAGCTACTGTGTAGCTCAAATGGGCAAGTGCTGGTATTGCAACTATCTCCTGCCTGTGGGCTCCTTGTGGTCACTTGGATGGCTCCTGTAGGAACAGAATGTTGGTACAGAAAAGCCTCTGGTCTAAATACAGCTGGACTGTTATGCCCTCAAATATTCAAAAGGCTGAGGTCTGCAAAACAAATGCTCAGTCTCTGAGAAGAGGAAAAAAGAGAAACAAAGCAAAACAAAAACCAGGTTGGCTATGTTTGGCCAATGTTTTACTCGATTATCTGAGAGTTGACATCTTCTCAGTAATTACTGCAGAGGATTCCACCTTGGGTATAATTAAAAAATGATTATTTAGAGAATGTAGTGAGACGGGCTCATCCTTGTTCTCAATTCATGCCAAACCCTGAAGAATAAGAAAAAAAAAAGATGTCAAGGAAAATAGATGTTTTGTGTCAGGAAGCAAAAGGTAGTGGGGTTCATATAAGGAGGCAGGTAATTTGACTGGCAAACACAGCCTTGGAATTAGTTCATTATGCTCAATATGATCACTTCCATGTAAAATAATATTGGACAGATGGGTATAGTAGGTTCTGTACTTCCAATGCTGTTGCATTAGTGAGTCAGTACATACAAAATAAACCTCAGATCACTGCTGGCTCTCTTCCCAGGGAGTTCGAAAGAGGAGATGTGAGAATACATTTACTGGTCCAGCAAAACTACATACTTTGTAACCCTTCTGAAGTGAGTCCCTTACAAATGTTCCCTCTGGCCACCAATCAAAAAAACACCACCACTACCATCATAATACCACAAGCCTCTCTGTGGTTTTGGATGTAATGACTAAGCGTTAATGAGCAGCAACTGAAGGAAACTGCTTCACTTCTAAACGAATTCTAACAAGGGGGAGTTTGATGCATTTCTTGTTTTAGCTGCTCCCTGCAATTAATTAAACATTTCACTTAAAGCACAAATGGAATGTATGAAAGAAATATTTAGCCAAAGAACAGAATTAATGAATGCTTTCTCTTAAACCCAGCTAGGTAAAAGATCACAGTGGCCCCAAAACATACATTTCCTCCTAATGCACTTGAGTTCAGCATTTAAACTGTAAAGGTTATATTTAGTCAGCTGGAAATAATAGTAAGTGGTTCTAAACAGAAGAAGGAAAAAAGTAGAGATGGTGCAGAATCTCTCTCTCTCTCTCTCTCTCTCTCTCTTTTCCTCTTCCTCTGTTTTACTTATCTGGAAAACCAGCTGTTTGGCAAGTTTCCTAAGGATTTGTGACAAGTTTCTACTAAAAGGTTGCCTTGATCCTGTTCCAAAGAAACACAGGATCTGATTTAGTGGTATATGCTGGGATAGCTATGAACCATTAACTCACTCACCTCTGACTTGTTACAGTGGATTAATTCATAGCTGATGCAAAATCAGAACAGGAAGAGAAATCAATAAAGTGTTGTTGTTATTAATTGACTTGAAGTTGACCTTGACTCATAGTGACTCTGTGAGTGAGACCCTTCCAAGACCCCCTATTCTCTCCGTTCAGCTCCTGTAGGTTCAACCTTGAATCTAACCATCTGGTGTGTGGCCTTCTTCTCTTTCTACTGCCTTCTACCTTTCCTAGCATTATTATCATCTTTTCCAATGAATCATCATGATGTGGCCAAAATATGACAGCCTCAGTTTCCTCATCTTTGCTTCCAGGGAGAGTACAGGCTTGATCTTTTCAAGGCCACATTTGTTTGTCTTTTGGGCCATCTATGGTATTCTCAGTGCTCTTCTCCAGCACCACATCTCAAATCAGTTGATTTTTCTCTCCATTCACTTTCTACACTGTCTAGCTCTCACATCTGTACGTAGTGAAGGGGGATACAGTGGCTTGGATGATTCTAACTTTTGTGTTCAGTTGTATAACTTTACTCTTTAGGATCTTGTCTAGTTCTTTCCTGGCTGCCTTTCCCAATCATAGTCTTCTTCTGATTTCTTGAATGAAAGTCTCCATTTTGATCAATGTATAGGATCCAAGGTATTGGGAATCTATTTTGATTTCTTCATTATCTAGAATGAATATATGTAAATCCTTTGTGATCATTTTTAATGCTCAGCAGTAAGCCTGCCTTTGTAATTTCTTTTTTAATTTTAGCTCAAAACAATGCACCAATGGCTTGCTTTAGAATCCCTTCAAGGAAGGTACAGCCAGCTACAGCATTGTTGGAGAAAGTGTGGTCTAAAGGTCTACAGGTCACATGTTTGTGCCATCCCAGCCCTACTCAGGATGCCCTATCTATTTCAGGGCATTTTTCCATTTAAAAAAATGTATTTTCCCCATGGGATGTCACTGTCTTCCCAGGTCCTTGCTCCCAAAAGATGACAGATCAAACCTGTAAGGGCACAGAAATGTTATATTCGGGGGGGGGGGTAGTCCTCTGAACAGAAAGTGCTATAATTGAGGCTTATTCTGCACAAAATTCATACCTCCTTCTTTTTATTTTTTATTTTTTCACAGAAAGCAGTATTTTCTATGCTAGAAACAGTATTTTGAGCATATAATATAACATCTTTTGTGCAAAGTATTATTTTCTGTGTAGAAAGTGCAGTTCTTTGTGCAAAAGAGAGAGGCCGGGGGGGGGGGAGAGTTTTGCATAGAATAAGTCACAAATTGCAAAGATTTTCATTAGTCCAGGATTTTTCTTTCCAGGATTTCCCAACATTTGAAAAACCTAGGGTTTTTTTTAAAAAAACATTTTCCCAAACATTTTCAACTTTTTTTTTCCATCCCTACTTAACTCTAAATTTAACTGATATTCTCACATCTTTGATGGAAGGGTTAGAGTATACTGGAACTTGAAGGGAAAAATATTTTGAATTGACTGGCTAGTTACTTTATGAGAGCCAAAGTGGTAGTGGTTTGAGCACTGGACTGCTGGAGACCAGGGTTCAAATCCTAACTTGGGCATGGAAATCCACCTTGAGCAAGTCACATTCTCTCAGCTTCAATGGGAGGCAAGATCAAATCCCTCTGAACAAATATTGCCAGGAAAACCCCATGACACTTTTGCCTTAGGGTTATTATAAAGTGGAAATGACTTGAAGGCACATAGGCACATACACACTACTTTAAACACACATACACACACACACACACACACACACACACACACTTGATCTATCTTGCTGCCTAGCCATTCCTTGAATTAACATGAGGTTTTCAAGGAAATATTGGCTTTGTCACTATAGGATTCAAAACAGACCACTGCAGAGAAGACTTATTATTGTTGTAAGCAAAACCATTGTGGTGAAAGTTCAGGGCTTTAGAGCAGAGTTAAAAACACATTAATATGATAATTTCTTCTTTTTAAAAAGCCCTTAAATATTAACATATCATGGCTTAGATGCATGGAATTGGAAAGCCTTCACCTTGTTTTCTTCCAGTCCTGATCTATAGGTGTTTGAATGCAAACTAAAGAGGCTACCTTATTCAAATATTCATTTAAAAATGTGGCTGATTTTACAGTTTCAAATCAGATGGAGAGCTTCCATACCACAGAGAAGGTATTCCTCTTCCTAAAAAGAAATGGAAAACACAACTCAGGATGCTCAAAGGAATTTTATTTTAATAGTAGGAAAGTATGATGCATTTTGCACTTTAAGACCTTCTGAAATGAGGCTATTCAGAACTAAAGTTTGAGAATCTGGAATTCTTAAACTTCTTACTGGATGAGTGAAAAACATTAAAATGCTCCCCAATTTCTGCCTCATATATTTTGTCCCAATCTATATATGGAAATTAAGGGCTTCTACAGATGGGCCCTTTAGGCCATCCTGGTGGCAGGGATGGGGAGGGGCAGCTGCATGTCGGTCGCCTCAACCTCTACCCAAATATGCATGGTGCACGGTGTCAGGACATCCTTCTGGCACAGCCTATTGATGCGCTGTGCCAGAAGGGGCACCAAAGAGCCATGCAGCGGCTCTTAGAGTGGCCTTTTGCGAGCTCTGAAAGGAAAGGCATTTTGCCGCTCCTTTCCAGGCTGGCAAAAGGGAGGATTGAGGCCATGCTGTCTGGCAGCCTCGGCCTTTATCCTCCACTTCCCACGGCAGGCCAAGGCTGCCCGTCTGCATCCTCCCTAACTGAAAAAGAGGCAGAAGTGAGAAAGGCTAGGTCTCACTCCCTCTCACATGTTTACCTTATTCTAGTTTTGAAATGTCTGATCATGATGATGATGATGATGATGATGATGATGAATATCCCACCTTATTCTTTTGTTTGTGACTCAAGACAGCTTGCAGCAGTTAAAACAGAGTTAACAATTGACAACATTTAGAACTTAAAAAGCAATTAAACAACTATAAAATTTGAAACCAGTTAAAATAAATTAAAACAACAACAACAAATATAAAGCATCTCATTATACAAAGTCTGGTTCCCTTAAAATTATTTATCAAAGGCCTGCTGGAAAGGCTAGTATAGAGGGTGCCAGTCTAGCATCTCTGGGAAGATAGCTACACTCCAAATCACCCTAGCCTTAGAGCCCAGCCTTAGAATAAGATGGTTAGAACAGTAGAGATAAGAGTTTTAGTGGAAGAAATTCTTCCATTCATGCTGCACATTCTGAAATATACAAGAGTGGAAACAGTTTCATTCCCATTAATTTTGTTGTTCATTTGTGACTTATGGCAACCTTAAGATTAGCCTATTTTCTTGGTAAGATTTCTTGGTAAGGTTTTCTTGGTAAGATTTTTTTCAGAGGGGTTTTCCTCTCTCTGAAGCTAAATGATCTGAAGACACCCAGTGTATTTCCATGGCTAAGCAGGGACTTGAACCTTGGCCTCTGGAGCCATAATCCAATGCTCAGATCACTATACTATGCTAGCTCTCCCATTAGTTTACCACCCTCCCCCCCCAAAAAAAAAGTCTTAGTGAAAACTTTGACTAGTGAAATGAGGTGATGTACACCTATCATTATGTCCAATTACTAAATGGCCCACTCTAAATACACCTTTAAATATCCTGAGAAAACTCAAAAGCAGAGCATGGCAAATATCTCTCTATAGTGTGGTGGTGATGAGAAGCTGCACATAATCTGGACAACAGAGGCATTTTGCTTTGTATTTTGCCTTTTTAAAGCTCTTACATGAATATATATCCATCTGATGAAGTGGACTGGGTCAACTAAAGCTTATGCCAGAAATTAATCCTTCCCAGTTAGGCTCAGAGGTGCAACTGGGTTCCTTTCTGTCTTGTTAATAGACACGGAGAGGCAGAGCTGCCATAAATGTGCTTCTTCATGTGTGTTTTAAACTCCTTTACCACTAGAAGGTGCATTTTATGTTCCCTCTTGGCATAACATTACTGTTCAGGTTTGTACCACCCCCCTTCTCAGTAACATTGGCTGTGGAAATTCAGATGGAATTATTCTGACGTTTGTCAGAACACCCCACCTTACTGCCCTCCTAGGTAGGAGAACTGTGGCACAATCACTCTGTTCAAAGTACATGTCTTACACTGTACATGGTATAAACCTTACCCTGTAGGTATAACAAGCTTTTGACAGCTGTTAGATTCAGGGCAGCTGGGAAACATTTTTCAAAAGCAGGGAGATATGTTGTCACACTCTGCAGCAAACAGCATTGTCAGGTTGAGTTGTTATGACAACGTTGCAGGTGTCAGAAACCTCACCTAGCATAAACAGACATAGAGAAGCTTAGTGGACAGAAGGACAAAAGGGGTGCATGTGGCCATATGCCACAGTGGGAGGGAAGGACTTTCATGGAATCTGATGCCAGGGAGCAGATAAAATGAACTGGATTCCAGTTGGCAGAGAAGTAATGCTTTGATCCTTATTCTGCACTATATCACCTCAGCCACTGAGGATATCTATAATATCACACTACACTCTTATAGCTCTACTATTCCACTACTATGCAGAACTCCATGTTCCAACTCCTGCTTTAAAACTTGTGAAGACTCATGTCTTTTGTTCAGACATAAATCAATATCATGCTACATTGTTGTTGTTGTTCTTGTTAGCTGCCCTTGAGTCGATCCTGACTCATGGCGGCCCTGTGGATGATAAATCTCCAAGTATTTCTATCTTCCACTGTTCTGCTCAAGTCCTGCAAACCCATACCCATAACCCCCCTAATTGAATCCATCCATCTGGTCTGTGGTCTTCCCCTTGTTAGGAAGGATCTAATTAGGGGAATTTATAATTAGCTCAATTATGCAAGAGTGGGGCCCTAGCAACACCCCATGAAACCGGATACCAATATGTATACCAGAAGACTAAGGAAATCTCAATGGATGATGCTGAGACAGGCTTCTTCAATTAAAGTTTAAATATTTATTAAAGGGGGAAAACTGCACACATGGGCATATGGCATAAACACACACTGCATTCTTAGTAATAAAGGAGTGAAATAGCTTGAGATGGGCCAGACTAAGGGACTACTCACTTCCAAAGGCTTCTTTGGGATCCGCTGTGGATGTTGATGATAATGATGACGATGATGCACAGCTACTGAAATGGGAGAAGGGATGGCTGAGGGAGCAATTGTCAGAGCACAGACTGATGTGGAGTCAGCATGCACTCCAAAAATAGCATGTGGAGCCTAAAAATCTCAAGGTTTATAAAGGAAATATTTTGCTTCTAGCTATTGACTAAACG